ACGCGCCACTTTAGCCTACTACCCTAATATGATTAGCATTTAATGCCTCCCCTGAGTGCATTAAATGCATGGCAGGTAATGATTGAATAAACTTTAAATCGCATTTAATATCTGTTAGAGCGGCGCCGACCGGCGTACTAGGGACACTGTACGATAAGACAGAGTGAACAGTGTATGAACAGTGCCGAATTTAAGGTAGCTATAAATAGAAGACTCATTTTATTTATTTTGGGTTGTTGAATCTCTACCAACTAATTATCTCTCTACATTTACTTATTCTATTTTGTAATAAATTCCCGTAAGAATCTCAAGTGTAATTAAAGTGCAGACCTCGATATCAGAGACCGACCTCGTAATTAAATAATAAAAATTCTATTTCCTCGTACGTCCTTCTTATTCTTCATTCCCATCATCATAAAAACTTTATTTTAACCATTGACCGGATCCGTCTATCAACAGTTTGGTGCTAGAAAGGAGGGCCCATATTTTGTTTGGTGTCAATTTTTCGTCTTTGTGGAACACGTTCTCAATCTCATCTTTTTCTCACCTTTTTACCTTCAAAAGTCAAAACTCGTCAAAAATGACTTCTTCCAGACATAACGAGTCAACTCATCAATTTGGGGGCCAGTCCCATCATCGCGATGGCGACGAGACTTCACGTCGACGTCAACCGGGGCCTCAGGCCACAATCCCGCTTGTCCCGACCTTCACGGCGACAATGCAGCATCCTAACGTCCTCAAAGTCCTCGAGGGTGCCTTTGCCAAGGCATTGGCAAGCCACGCGGCCGGGGCAAACACCGTGGCCGCGACCGACAACCCCGGCAACACATTGCTCCAAACTCTTGAAAAGGATACCGGGATGAAAGGAAAAGGACAGGCCCGGTCCAAGATCAGAGCGCAATCTCCCAACCGAGAGGCCCAGACCATGGGTACGTTAGACCGATATTTGTGCCGATCTCACTCCAGGCCATGGGTACGTTAGACTCATTTGTGCCGATCTCGCTTTTTACATTTCTTTTCTTGTCTTTGTTTCCATATTCATCTATCTCCTGATTTAAATCACACCCCCCAAATAAAATAGGGAAAATGAGACATTTGGTCCGGTAAGTTTATGCCTTTTTTGTTTTGGTCCTCTTCAAATCAACTTTTTACATTTGGTCCGTTATCTTCAAAAATTGCAGCAATTTCGTTCTTTTTCGGCCCAACGGGCCAATTTCTGCAGTTGAATCCTACGTGGACCCAAAGCCACCAAAAATAAAAAATACCAGCTGATGTGGCGAAGGTAATGCCTCAAAATTAAGCCCTAATTTCCCTAATTTCTTCCAATTGCCCTAAATACCTGAATTTGGGAGGATTCTATTTTCCTGCGTTTAATTTTCCATTTTTCTAAAACATTAAACCGAGAAAAAAAATGGCAAATCCAAAATTAATGAAATTACCCAGCATGAGAGCGAGGGTTGAAGACACTCTATCTGGCACTGTTCTAAAAATCGGCCTAGGCGGCGCCTCCGATTTGTACAAATCGGCATAAAAAAATCGGTCAGGCGGCGCCTAGGCAGCCCTAGGCGGCCCTAGGTGCTCCTAGGCGGGCGTAGGCGGACCTAGGCGCTCCTAAGCGAGCTCGGCGGCAATTTTTCAGTTTTTTTTTTAAATACTAATTACATTGTTTTGTTCTCATGTTTTCTTTAATATATATTAATATTATTATTTGGATTTTGGTGTGAGAATTTATTATAAGTTGAGATAGTTTTATTTTGTAGGTAATTAAAATAAATAAAAAATAAAGTATTTAATATTGATTTCTGGGCCCCACTAGGCGCCGCCTAGGCCCCGACTAGGCGCTAGGCGCTGGTCGAGCGCCTAGCGACTTTTAGAACACTGCTATCTGCACATCGCAATGAACTCGTCTCTCTCCTCTCCCGGTATTTATTTCCATTAATTATCTCTCAATTTCTTACATTTATTCTTGGTTCTTACAAAAGGGTCTGATTTGCAATTTCATTTTATTCCCCCGCCCGACTCGTTCTTCGTCCATCGGCAACGGTCTTCCAATTGCCTCAAAAAAGGAAAATGGAAAAAAGGGCATGTGTTCATTAAATTAGTTCTTGTGCTTTTTTCCCACACCTACAAAATACAATCGCCCTTGGACGAGCAGACGATGAAGAAGAAGACGGCATTGTTGTTTTTTAGAAGCAAGAATTAAGGCTAGGATCTTGTTAGAACAAAAATCGAGTAAATTGATTGAATCGCCTTTTGATTTATGGGAAAACTCAGAAGCAAGAATTAGGCAAATAAAATAGGGATGAATTCGACTTAATTCTGAAATTAGGGCAATTGAAATTTTCTCAAGAACTCTCCCTACCAGCTATTTATATATATAGGTGAATTGTTTTTTTTCTTTTAATCTTTTTTTTTTTAAGATATTTATCTCTATCTTCATTAACTAGTACGAATCCCTGCGATGCACGGGTAAGAGATATTAATTAATATTTATAAATTAAAATTTTTTATTAAATAATATTTATAAATTAGAAACATGGAATCAATATGTAATACAATGTACCTATATAATTTATTAGAAATGTTATATAATATTTAATTTGTGAAAATTACATAAAAATGTCTATTTAAAATTACACATCACGTGCGGTTGCACATAATTGATAATAAATTACATTATATGATTTCAAAATATATGTCATTTCATAAATTTTATTTAAAAATTCGATTTGACTTTAACGTGATTCTATAAAATAATTATTTTGGTAAATTTTTATCATGTATTTAAAAACCTATGTGAATAATAAGTATAACTATAAAATTTATATTGTTTAATTAATTAAAATAAATTTATTTTTATATAAAATATCCAAATCAAAAAATTTAAGTAATCAAGTAAAAACAATCAGTCATAAGATTTTTTATGCCAAAAAATCGACACTCTTTATCATGCTAAAAAAAATGAACAACACATTTCATACAAAAATTATTTGAAATGTCGTAACAAAAAATGAATTAAACCGAGACCCACTAATTATATAAAAAAAATTACCAGAGCTTTTTCTATAAATGAATTTGTGATCATAATAAATGAATTTCATTTTGGCTATCGATTTTTTTATTAATCTGTACAACATCTTTAGGAAGATTCAATGAATTTTTGGAATCAATGTAACATTCAGTAATTATCTTGCATTTTTAGAAAAGATAAAATATGGTGAGTGTGGATCAAAATAAATAGATTTCTATTCAATGAATCATATGATTATTTTAGCATGAAAATTAAGGACCTTTATTTTGGAACTTATATCTTAAAGTTAAAGTTAACAATTACGTGTATGAAATTTCCATATTTAGTAATAAAATATTTTTTGGCGGGAAATAGTTATTATTTTAAAAATAATCAAACCTTTATATATATCTATACTTATATAATAAGAATTAACATTTATCCAAAATAGTAGGTCAAATTATGGTCAATGTCGGATTTCCATTAAATATTTTCCAAAACTGGTAAGTTTTTGTCCTTTTCACACTTCTCATTAATTATGTCCTTTTCACACTTCTCATTAATTATGTCATTTTCACACTTTTCATTAATTATGTCATTTTCACACATCTAATTAATTCATTAATTACGACATAATTATCATAAATCATTCCATCTGAGCTTTTATCGTTAAAATGTATAGCGATCTATTATGACCTTATCCCATTGATATTTCCATTAAGCGTCCTTATCGCGTTCTATGTTTTGGTAACCACTCTATATCAATAACCGGATATTTGGTTAATGATAGCACACGTCTTAATTTCAAGGAGCGGATATTCTTTGACCTTTAATTAATCTGAACTGATTGTGTTGACTTTTCAATTTTTAAAAACTCTTTTTTTTAAATATTTCGGCTTAAGATTCTGATTTCATTATACAAGTCATCAGATTGTTTAAATGAAAATGAATGAAAAGAACACAAAAAACAGGTAGCCTTATTCATATAACTAATCCTAAAATATTAGTTTGTTCACAAAAAAGAGACAAATCCTAGAAATCCTAAAATATTAGTTTGTTCACCAATCTTAAAATATTAGTTTGTTCACCAAAAATATTAGTTTTAGGATTTATCTCTTTTGAAAATATTAGTTTGTGATAATGAGGAGTTACCAAATAATCAAACTCATAATGTTGTGTACGAGGTTTTTAATAATATATGATTGTTACCGAACTTTTTATTATTCAACAATGTTACTATGTATTTTAATGATTTCAATTTCGATCCTAATACATGTGAGGTTATATTATTCTTCTAAATTTTACATCTAATTTCGATCCTAATACATGTAAGGTTATATTATTCTTCCAAATTTTACATCCCGTGCATCGCACGTGTTACGTACTAGTATATATAGATGAGAATTATTATTGACAAAAAAAATATTTTTAATTAGTGTGCAACTTCTCAAACGACACTTAGGAGAGGTACCATTTTGTAGTTAAGTTGGCAAAAAGCCAACAGCCATCTATCTTCGCAAATACTTAGGTGTGCCTAGGTACACCTAGCTAGGTGTGCCACAAATGAACACGTTATGTTACAAAATGAACATATGCAAATCATGTTTGTACATGTCCATTTTGTAACATAACATGTTCATTTTAAACTGCCCTGGCACACCTAACTAGGTGTACCTAGGCACACGGTAGTAGCACTGCAATGTTTTCTGCTGAAGTGCCAATGTTTTCTGTTTCGTGATTTATATATGAAACTTTGTACTTAGAAGTAGTTTATGTAAACCTGAATTTTTATTATATCTATTATAATTTTTAAAATTATAAAATACTTAATAAATTTTAATTAAAAATATATTTTAAAATGTTGATTTTTTTAATTTATTATCGAATTTTCATAATTGATAATCTTTTGATATTTTTTTATTTAACATCTATATTTCATGTATAAAAATTCTATATGATTTTATAAACAAAAAATTACATTAACTATCAATAACAATTGAAAAAAAATAAAATTAACCGAGTCGACACAATCCTCCGCTTTCCGACGGCCGTGTCGTCCGTCACTTGCACAGATATCGTCCTTGCTACTAGCTCTTACAGTACAAGGCTACAAAGCGTTGTGCGCCTATAGGCAGGTTTACAGACACTCCTCACAGTCACAGGCACGCACCGGCGGCAGCAATGGCAGATGTTCTCGACGATGCGAAGGACATTGTGAAGCTTTATGAGTGTGGAGAACGCCTCAACGAAGTCAAGGATAAGTCTCAGGTTCGTAAAATCCCCCTTTTTTCCGTTTGATGTTAGGGTTTCATCAATTGAATCGCTGATGTTAATTCCGGCGTTCTCTGGCGTCGTTGAACAGCATGCCCAGGACTACGATAACATTATTAAGGCGGCAAAGAGCAGCAGTGTAAAAGCAAGGCAATTAGCTGCGCAGCTAATTCCTCGTTTTTTCAAGTACTTCCCTGCTCTGTCGGCTTGTGCAGTCGATGCACATCTCGATTTGTGCGAAGCAGAAGAATTAGGGGTCAGCTCTTTCTTCATCTTTGTAGTTGTTACCCCATTTGTGAGGTGGCTGTAGTTTAAAATTTTCACTCCTGAATTTCTGTAGTATGACCAATGCAATGAGGAACGGTGTTTTTTTTAGTGATAAACGTTGACATGAGGGGTGTGCATACAACTAAATGAACACGAGTCTCTGTTTTATTATATGTTGATGTGCAATCTATTTGAAACACATTTTTAGATTCGAGTGCAAGCAATACGTGGGCTGCCTCTGTTCTGTAAGGATACACCAGAGCATCTCTCTTAAATTGTTGATATTCTTGCACAACTTCTCACTGCTGGTATTGATGTTTGCTCGGAGGAGTTTATAAGATATCATTTTGATTATATTAAGATACAACTGCACTGTTAGAAATGTCATGTAATATATTATTCTTCTGTTCTTGTTGTAGAGAAGAATGTGGAGCGTGATGCAGTATGTAAAGCACTTTTGTCATTGTTGAGGCAAGATGCCCGAGGTACTTCTAATGAGTAATGATTGATGACATCTATAAAAGTCTCTATTTGTGCATTGTGCCATTATTAGCAGCAGATTTTATATATTTTTTTTTATTATGTAAAGTGATGATATCGAATATTGCAAACATAACATGCCCAACCCATATGGTTTCTTACTATTACATTGTTTGTCAAGCTGTCAGTTTGTTAGGTTGTGTTATAAATAGCCANGGTTTGTTACATAAAAATTAAACTTTTGTTGTTAAGAAGACAACAACAATAACAACATACTCAGTATATTCCCAAACAGGTTCGGGTCTGGGGGGTCAGTTGTACGCAGACCTTACCCTAGTAATTATAAAAGGAGGCTGTTTCCGTAGCGACCCAAGGTGCATTGCGCCGTTTGATATTTTTTTTTTTCTAGAAACTTCACTAATAGAAGAAACACTAGACTTTAATTGAGCCATTTTGATCTAGTCCATTATTAGCACTATGCCAGGAGAATTGTCAACAATGACTCTTCCAGCTCCATTTGCAATGGACAAATTTTGTTGTTAAGAAGACAAGACAATAAATTAGGAATAAGGTGTAGACTATTAAAATCAATTTTTAACTTAATGTATTGGCTTGCAAACATTCCAAATTGAATTTATGTTGTAAAAACCAGGCTGCATGTGGTTAAGGTAAAATCAATAAGAATGTCGGTTGGGCCTACGCTTCAAAAATTGTTTGCTTCGTGTTTGTTGCCTATTTGAGATTTTTCTGCAAAGTAGGATAGGGTCCAAATAGCTCCTTATAATGATGATCATAGTTCTACTCTATTTTGAGGCTTCATATAACATTTGGGATTTTACATTATTCATCAACTGTTTATGCAGCTTCTTTGACAGCCCTATTTAAGCATATTGAGTGGGTTGATGGGCAGATAACAGATGAGAATCTACGTGAGAAAACCCTGCTTTTCATTAGAGACAAGGTGGGAAGACAGATTTTCTAACTTGTGTGAAATTATGTGGTGTTTTTTTCTGTCACGAATGACTTCCATGCCATCACATGGTCCGCCCTTAAAATATTGATCTTAATTCAGGTCTTTCCACTTAAAGCTGAGCTCTTAAAGCCGTCAGAGCAAATGGAAAGACATAAAACTGAATTGATAAAAAACGTATGTCCTAAAAGATCTTTCAATAGATGATAATGACATAATGCTGTTTTATTAGTTATTTTGGACTGGAAGATTTGGTTCAAACCTGTCAAGTGTCAACAAGTAAATATTTTGCAGAGCCTACAAGATGTCACTGGAGCTGAATTCAAGATGTTTATGGATTTCTTAAACAGCTTGAGCATGTTTGGTGAGAAAGCTCCTCCAGAGAGGCTGCATGAATTAATTGAAATCATTGAAGGCCAAGCTGATCTTGATACCCAATTTAATGTAAGTATCATTTTTGTTTTAGATTGTTTATTGGGGTGTGAAGTATCTTTTATCTTGAAAAGAAGTGTAACAATTGACTCCATACTTCTACAAATTTTAACATCTTCATATTATGTGGCCTATTGCGTCTGCTTAGATTCTGGGTTCATTATATTCCAATTTATCATGATGTAGATTACACACTTGAACCTGTAAGTATTTGAATTCAAACAATAGGGTTGAAGTCCTCAGGGACCACAAGGATGCTTGTATTTCCCCATTTCTCATCTGTTTTTTTTTTAATTTATTTATTTATTTATTTTAGTCGAGAAATACCAACCTTTTCCAAATCTCGTTAAAAACTGTGAGCTAACTGCAGGTTGCAGATGTGGATCATATAGATCGACTAATTTCATGCCTGTTTATGGCTCTTCCATTTTTTGAGGTACATCATGTTCGTTGATCGTTCTTTTTTATAGATAGTACAAATTTGGCTTTATGTTGGCTGATTTTAGCATTTCTTGCAGAGGGGTGCATCTAATAGCAAGTTTTTCAACTATTTAAACAAGCACATTATTCCAGTTTTTGATAAGGTACATATTTTAATAGTATCCTCTAGTGACTGTTATATGTTGGTCTATAGATCCCTACTTTGCTATATTAGTTAGTGATTGTATGGTCTCCTCATGCATCAAAAACATTGGAAAATTCTTTTCAAAAGAAATAAAAAAAAAAAAAGAACACTGAAAAATATAATTTATTTGGAGTAAATCCAGCCACTTGCATGCAGATTTATATATCCAGACAGTTTCGGGAGTTATTATACTATTTTCCTTAGGTTCTTCATGGACTGTCTTACTTGGATTCTTTCGCCTGTATAAAGAAATGTGATAAATTCACTTAACATAGAATTATTCGAAGATTGGTAGTGATTATTTATGTCTGCCTTGTTTTCTAGGTAAGAGAGTTTACTGGAGGTTCCCGTGGGTCCACTATGGACATGAGTGACATATGTGTGGTTTCTTGCATATCTGTAGGTGTATTTATGCTACCAAGGAAGAAATTGCTATATGGATTCATTTTTTCTCCTCAGCTTACAAATTTCTTGTGGATTACTTGTGCACTGGAGGTCTGTTCTGATTTTGAGGCAAGTTATCATTGACTGGAGAGCTGATATCGCTTATCATTGATTGGATAAACTTTGCTAAAACATGTAAGTGGATAATATTTTGCTCATTAGTCAGAACATGTCTATGACTGTTATTTGCTTATCAGCTTCCAGAGGAACGAAAAGTGGACCTGCTTAAAAACCTTGCTGAGAGTTCCCCTCACACTTCCTCACTGGACTCTAGACAAATTCTTCCTGCTGTTACTACGCTCTTGAAGGCAAGTTTATGGATTATATTGAATAGTAGAATTTGATGCATTTTATGTATTTATTTATTTATTGGAGAATTTTAAAAGTGTTGTTTCAGAAGTTCATGCCTCAAAGAAAAGCAGAAGAGATGAATTTTACTTATGTGGAGTGCTTATTATATGCATTTCACCATTTAGCTAACAAGGTCATTCATGTTTTCTTGTCCGATATTTTTCTCAAATTTCTTATTGCCAATTGACACGTGAACACTCCTTATTTTACAGGCACCAAATGCAACTAATTGCTTATGCGACTACAAGATTGTGACTGGACAGCCATCGGATAGGCTCGGTGAGGACTTCTCACATCAATACAAAGATTTCTCTGAGCGGTGAGCTTATCCTTCACATCCAATAAATTTTGATTATTTCCCTTTTCCTCAAGCGTTTTATTTAATATCATGGAAAGAAACGAGTTTTGGACATTTACTGATACTGAGAAGAAAAATGTAGATTTCTTTGTTTGAAGTTCTGATCTTGACTTAAGATTTATTTTCTTGCATTTCTGTTGGCTTGAGTCTTTACAAATTAAAAAGTAACATTTTGTTAAACATGACCACAGGTTGAATTCTGTTGAAGACCTAGCCCGGGCCACTATTAGAAAGTTGACTCGGGAACTAGCAGAATATAATAAAGCACTGGCAGCTGCTGTATCTGACGAGGCAAAGGCTAGCGTTTTGAGTTAACAATACAACAACAACAACAACAACAACATACCCAGTATATTCCCAACAGGTTGGGGTCTGGGGGGTCAGTTGTACGCAGACCTTACCCTTGTAATTATACAAGGAGGCTGTTTCCGTAGCGACCCAAGGTGCATTGCGCCGTTTGATATATTTTTTTTTTCTAGAAACTTCACTAATAGAAGAAGCACTAGAATTTAATTGAGCCATTTTGATCTAGTCCATTATTAGGCGTTTTGAGTTAACAATATTTGGCGTTATTCTCTACTAAAGCCATGAATTGAAAATGTTCTGGATACGGGCCTTCACATGATATTTCATGCGCAATTTGCAGAGAACACAAAAGCTGAATGCTGCAACTGGGCTGCGAACGTGCAATAACATCTTGGCTATGACTAAGGTGAGTACCATAATTTATTGAAGTTTTTGTAATTATACTTCTTTTAGCTAATTTTGGGATGATTTTGACAACTCAGCCTCTGCACTCCAAAACTCCTTCATTTGTTGGAGACAAGAAAACAATCAACTTATCTTGGAAAGATGCAGTAGTGAAGCCTACCGCAACATCATCTACTTCTGCCACAGGGTATTTTTTGTATATGCACTTGTTTTATTTCATCTACTTTGACAGCCATTCCCTAACTAAAAATATAATGAAATTTGATAATTCCCCCTCCAAAGAAAACATCCTTCAGTTTATGTTCAATTTTATAAATA